TTATCAGAAGAAGCTCTACAGGAAACCTGAGCATCTCCAGTGTTTCCAAACGTGATGAAGGATTCTACAAGTGTAGCATCTCTGGAGGAAGAGAATCAGCCGAGAGTCTGATGGCTGTCCAAGGTGAGACACATCAGTGTTACCAAATCAAATTGAAAAATACATGTGATATAACTATGTGTTGAACCTGAAGCAGATTATATTGATTGATTTGAAAAGGACAGCGTACATTAATCAACATACAGACGGATGTAAATGTAATTCCATGTGAGATGGGTCTTATAAATGACCTGACACAAAAATAAAATATTCATTCATTCATGTACCCAAGTTAGCGGAAGTATGATTTTTGGCTCATATCCTCTTCATCCCTTTATAGTTTACCCGGTGAATCTGTGGTCTCATATTGACAATAAATGAAGAGAATTGTTCTCGAACTTTACATCAATGTTACTGGTATGTTTGCATTAAGACGAGATATTTACATGCACTCATCTTTGTGTGATATAAAATATGAACCCCATGTTGTTCAGATGGTCCTGTGATCCTGGAGAGTCCGATCAGTGTGGTGGAGGGAGAGACTGTGACTCTGCGCTGCAGACACAAGACGACCTCATCCAATCTCTCAGCTGATTTCTACAAAGATGGCCGCCTTATCAGAACAAGCACTGCAGGAAACATGAGCATCCCCAGTGTTTCCAAACGTGATGAAGGATTCTACAAGTGTATCTCTGGAGAAAGAGAATCAGCCGAGAGTCTGATGGCTGTCCAAGGTGAGACACATCAGTGTTACCAAATCAAATTTAAAAATACATGTGATATAACGATGTGTTGAAACAGTATATTGATTGATTTGAAAAGGACAGCGTACATTAATCAACATACAGAGGGATGTAAATGTACTTCCATGTGGGATGGGTCTTATAAATGACCTGACACGAAAATAAAATATTAATTTATTCATGTACCCAAGTTAGCAGAAGGCACATTTTTGGCTCACATCCTCTTCATCCCTTTGTAGGTTACCCAGTGAATCTGTGGTCTCATATTGACAATGATTCAAGAGAATTGTAATCGAACTTTACACCACGAGAAGGCGTGCATTATTTCTATTTGTCTTCTTTGCAGAGTCACACCAAGAGATTCATGCGTCCTCAGATCTTCCATTCATCATCTTCAGAAACATTCTCCCTGTAGTAATGATTGCTTTGCTGCTGGTGCTGCTGGGATGGCTCCACTGTGGGGAACTCCGAGGTAAACCCACAGGTAAACAACAACACCTCATGTGCACTCAAATCGAGATGGAGATATTGAAATAAAGGATACGACGGGATGAACGACAAAGACAGACATTTTCTCGAAAGTCTTGTTTTGTTGCCAGAAATGAAGAGCATCCCATAATGCTTCATTCAGCTCCTCAGCTGCTGTCTTCCATGTGTTACAGTGCACCTTGTTCATTATATGTAATGATGATCCACTTATATTCAGTGCATGTTGTGCAAACCAATGAAAACATTTTTAATCAGCTTAAAGAATCCAATCCATAGAAATGTTTTGAAATGAGCAGATCAAAGAAAATGGCAGCACTTCCTGTTTGACAGGTTTCACATATTTAATTCACATCTTGATGAATGTTCAACAGATGTTCGTTCTTCTTCTGTATAAGGACCTGAAGATATCACAAGTCAAATAACATTGTGCACAGTTTGTTTCAGTGTCTTTCTATATTTAATATTCACATCTGAGACCACGTCTTCTCTAACCCTGACCCACGAGCCACAACTCATCTCAGCGTTATTTATAGAGCACCTGTCATACGTAAAGTCTGTGAGCCCGTAATGTTTGTGTGAACACCGTCACTGTTAAAAAAGGACCCGAGATTAAAATTGTCTATAAAACCCACATCATGTGCTGCGCAAGCAATCAGCAGGTGGAGCTTCACTTCCTGCTCATATCTGCATAAAATATCGACCTATTATACGAACATTTGTGATGGTAACATGAACTTTTCAACTGTAATATTCCACTGAATGTTTTTATATCAACAACAATACAAATACGTCTGCCTCTCTGTAACAACAGTTCACATTTTTATTAAAGATGTGTGATGGAAGTTTTTTTTGTGTCTTCTTTTTATGCAGTGTGGTTATTGTACAGCAGGGGGAACTCATTGTTAGTGTTGTACCAACATTAACCCATTAATAACCAGCTATACTAAATTAGGTTTGTTCAGGAATAGTGTCTCAGATTTCTTTATGTTGGAGGTAGAAATTTGAAAATGGCGTTGGTGACTGAAAATGCTCGTGGCTACACAAAGCAAGGTGACCAATTTATTTCCAACACCTTGTTTGGTAGACAAAGTAATGTTCACAAAGGAAAACACATGCTAAATATTCTTCTGAGTCCAATGGTGGATACAAATTAAAGGTTAAAACAACTGTTTTATTCACAGTGAGAACCCATAAAGAAGATCTGATTTTTAATTCATTCAATGCTTTTTCTTTGTTTTCTGTGACAAAAGTCAAAAACCTGCCACCTTCAAACCCTTCACACTTGTGAACTCTTCTAGAACTATACGTACTGCTGCCAGCCAATCAGAATCAAGAACTCTTTTCTCGAAGGTCCTGGGTTTACTTCAGATTCTGTTCAGACATTCAGTCCCCAGATGGTGAAACTCATCTTTTCGTAGAAAGAGTGAAATATTTGATCTAATTAGCATTAGCATGTTAGCATGGTCATTTTTAACATATTAGCTTGCATTGTAATAGCATTCAGCTCAAAGCATTTGAGAGCTACTACCGCTACTGTCCACTCAAAAAGACGTTTTTGTTGAACATGTTGAATATGAATCGGGATTGCTGATAAGAAGACCCTGAGAAAATACTGTTTGCATGAAAGAATAAACACCAGTACACTTCTTTAATGGCACAGTTATTTTCTGTTTTTCTCATGTATGACATTTACAACCACGTTAGACTTAAAGTGTCAGACTCATTTCTTTATTTGGACTCGGTCAGCGTGCTTCAGATGAAAGTGAAGCTGCAGCATCAAGGTGGTGGTTTCAGTTTCACACTCACGAAAATACACACAGCAGATGGAACATGTGGGTTTAACTGTCAGCAAATAATAACAGATAATACATCTGAAAATACAAACCACATCTCTTTAAAATATCTTTAAACATCAACACATGTAGGGCGCAAAGCATGAAAACCATTTCTACAATGCAAAATAAAATAAAAAGTGGTTTTTCACACATCAGGTTCAACCAAACATCTCATGTGCTGCTCGTCCTTCATTCAGCCGTCACGTTGCGACCTGAAGACAGAAAGGGTTAACAGCTCTGAGCATACCACATTGATATAAAAAACATGGGTCGTATCATTCTGAGAAGCATGACAGCTAAAGCTTGAACCGAAGCATGTAGGAAATGCTGCCTTAAGTGGTGCTTTGGTTGAACATCAACGTCCAGTGACATAGATGTTTGAAAGCTGTAAATATGGGTCATGTTCTAACCTCTGCTGTCCATCCTACCAGATATGAATGTCAGTAATGTCCTGAGTCTTACCTACTGGATCAAAGAATAGAGGGGTTCCTGTGTCAAAGGTCGGTTGGTACCAGCTGAGTGAACTGTCGCCGTCATGATTCTGGATACTCCTTGCTCTGTTTTGAGTATAGATTGAATTATCCCACAGTGTCGTCAAAATACTTACTAGAACACTTGAACATCAGGCACCATTTAGTTTACCTTTTTATTACAATAAGTCTAAACCAATTTCTTGAGTGTCACTTGGGTCACCCAAAGTGGAGTTTAGTCTAAGCTACGATTATAGCCTCCTTGTTTAAGCTTGAAACGTTTCACCTTATTTAGCACATTTTTGATTTGATTTTGATGAAATGAAAGGAATTCTTTGCTTTAACCTTTCTGATCTTTTGCTATTCTGTTATTTTGGGTTCTTGGAGGCTTAGGTTTGAATCCTATTTGTTAAAACTTTCCTAAATCCTGCTACCTCTCGTGTGTGATTTATTATTCATCAACAGATGCAAATATAGAAAGACACTGAAACAAACTGTGCACAGTGTTATTTGACTTGTGATATCTTCACGTCCTTATACAGAAGAAGAACGAACATCTGTTGAACATTCATCAACACGTGAATTAAATATGTGAAACATGTCAAACAGGAAGTGCTGCCATTTTCTTTTAACTGCTCATTTCAAAACATTTCTATGGATTGGATTCTTTAAGCTGATTAAAAATATTTTAATTGGTTTGCACAACATGCACTGAATATAAGTGGATCATCATTACATATAATGAACAAGGTGCACTGTAACACGGAAGACAGCAGCTGAGTAGCTGAATGAAGCATTATGGGATGCTCTTCATTTCTGGCAACCAAACAAGACTTTGGAGAAAATGTCTGTCTTTGTCGTTCATCCCGTCGTATCCTTTATTTCAGTATCTCCATCTCGATTTGAGTGCATATGAGGTGCTGTTGTTTACCTGTGGGTTTACCTCGGAGTTCCCCACAGTGGAGCCATCCCAGCAGCACCAGCAGCAAAGCAATCATTACTACAGGGAGAATGTTTCTGAAGATGATGAACGAAAGATCTGAGGACTCATGAATCTCTTGGTGTGACTCTGCAAAGAAGACAAATAGAAATAATGCACGCCTTCTCGTGGTGTAAAGTTCGATTACAATTCTCTTGAATCATTGTCAATATGAGACCACAGATTCACTGGGCAACCTACAAAGGGATGAAGAGGATGTGAGCCAAAAATGAGCCTTTGGCTATCTTGGGTACATGAATGAATTCATATTTTATTTCTGTGTCAGGTCATTTATAAGACCCATCCCACATGGAAGTACATTTACATCCGTCTGTATGTTGATTAATGTACGCTGTCCTTTTCAAATCAATCAATATACTGTTTCAACACATAGTTATATCACATGTATTTTAAAATTTGATTTGGTAATACTGATGTGTCTCACCTTGGACAGCCATCAGACTCTCGGCTGATTCTCTTCCTCCAGAGATACACTTGTAGAATCCTTCATCACGTTTGGAAACACTGGAGATGCTCAGGTTTCCTGCAGAGCTTGTTCTGATAAGGCGGCCATCTTTGTAGAAATCAGCTGAGAGATTGGTAGAGGTCGTCTTGCGTCTGCAGCGCAGAGTCACAGTCTCTCCCTCCACCACACTGATGGGACTCTCCAGGATCACAGGACCATCTGAACAACATGGGGTTCATATTTTATGTCACACAAAGATGAGTGCATGTAAATATCTCGTCTTAATGCAAACATACCAGTAACATTGATGTGGATGATGTCGCTTCTGTTCCCATCTCTGGACTCACACCAGTATTGCCCACTGTCCTCTGGAAAAATATTATGAATAGTGCAGGATGACCTTTTTGATGTCACTGTAGTTTGACATTTGACTAATTCCCCTTTGGACCGATGTACAATTTTCAATCCAGTCGAGTCATCAGAGCCCTCACAATGGAAGATCAGAGACTCGTATTTAAAGAACTGCAGTCTGTTTGGTTCAAGACGGAGAATCAGTGAATCTGAAACAAACCATAGAAAGACATGTTCTCTTATTTCACCAGAAAGTACCAACTGAAGTTAAAATACAACTAAGCATCACCCTGGTACTTACCAACGTCCTGAACATGTGCACACAGCAGGAATAACACGTGGACCACTGGAATAACAAAAGAGAAGAGCTCCACATTGAGTGAGACGTGTTTTAACAGTCGTATATTCAACTGATTCTTACAGCTCCTAAAGCTGCCTTTGATGTTTGACTTTTACATTTTTATCTTTCAGGGCAAAAACCTCATATAAATATTTTGAACCTGAAAGTCTTTCCAAGCCCCAAGAGCATCATTTGCATTAAACCATCATTACCATCCTAACCTTGAACGACTACACTCTTTAGTTTTAACCAATCGTACTCACAGAGTTTGATGCAGAGCGCACCGACCTCCATGTTGACTGTCTGAACACCAAGCTGAACTGAAGTGTAACTGAGGAGGGGCTTCTTCCTGTGTGGCCTATTTATGCTGCTCATGTTACCCTAAGTTTGACACTTAGATTTTTTTCAAAACGACGTTCACACTGACTGAGCTGCTGTGGTGGTGGTAACACCTCAGTTGATAGATTAGCGTCATTGGGCGGAGCCAAAGAACGAAGCGGACTGCTATGATGTGAAAACATTGATACGAACACGTAAAGTCAGACAGTTTGAAATAAAAATGTCAGCTGTTAAAAATATAAACACAAGATATCTGCAGACATAACTGCAGGCTGAAACTATAAGCCCTCATGCTTCGTTCACTTTACTCATTTGATGGTCAGGTGTTGCTGCTGTGAGCTGGAAACAACCTGCAATAGAACCGTCCACACAGTTTAAAGCATCAATATGGACGACTTTCAGCGTTTTCCAAGTCCTACTGGGACACTTGTTCTCTAATTCTTGATATATTCTACAGCTGACAGTAAGCCAACTTTGTAATTGTCTTCAAGCAACAATGTATTGGAATTTGTGCTGCTCCTCCCCCTCATGGCCAACGTGCATTTGTTTGACAATCAGAGGCCGGAGAAGTCGACAAAGACTTTGCGGACTGATGAGGTTCAGTTATATTACAGGAACCCTTAGTTTGGGGCTGACTGAAAACACGGGAGACAAAAGACGGGAGGAGACTAGGAGGTACTCACAAAAGTATGTCATATTTATTCACAACAAAGTGAATGCGTCGATTAAAGAAGGATTGTGAGGATGTGGACGTCAGCTAATCGACCTTGTAAGGGTGTATGCATGAGTGGAGGTATGGTGAGCGAGGTGTGCTGTGGAAAGTCAAACAAAAGGAAAGAGCAGCATGGTTGAACTGGGGGAACAGTCTTTAGTCAAAATAGTCATGCTGTTTGAGGTTAGTTCAGTGTGGTGAGACCAGCAGCCCAAATGAAGCAGCTATAACGGGCTCTGATGTCCTCCCAGATCGCTGTAACATGAGACTGTCTTCATCATCGACTCAAAGGTACCAATCTGTGTTTTCATCATAAATATCACTGAGAATACGTAGAAGTTTGACTGTTTGAGCTTTGTTTCACTTCTGCATTCACCTGCTGATTATAATCATTTCAAAAAGCTTGTTTGAAACCAGAGAGATGTAGGAAGTGATGTAAGGTTGAATATCTAAATAATGTGTTATAGTAGACATTTGGAATGTGTTGTAATCTCAAAGTTCAATAACTGAATAAAACAGCTAAATGTGTAAATGTTGGTAATGAATGAGAGTTTAACCCTAACCCTAAACTAACCTTAATCTAACCCAGAAGGCCTTTGATAGGGCCGTCCAGTGGGGGAGGGTGAGGTATAGGAAGAAATTCACATCCTCCTCCGTCTCCACTCTTAGGGACCTCCTAACCAGGAGGCCCCAGAGCGAGGAGGGCCCTCCTGTGCCTCAGCTCTCCCCTCTGGACTTTCCTCCACTCTCCCAACCAGCAGGTCCATCTACCACCCACTGTAACCTCCCTCGCCCTCCTCTCCGACCTACTCCTACCTGGCCTCCCTCCTCCTCCTCCCCTGTCCTCCCTTACCCCCCTCCCCCCTAACCCGAACTCGTGTCGTCCCCCTTCTTCCTCCCCTTGCTTGATTCCTCCTCCCCCTACTACCCCACCCTACCCCTCCCCTAAACCTAACCTTCGTCGCCCCCCCTCTCCTTGTCCTCCTCCCCCCCTCTCTCCACTACCATACCTTCCTCATCCCTTAAGTCTAGACCACCCCCCTCCTCTCCTCCTCCCATCACTTCCTCAGGTCTCTGTACGTTTGGGGGGTCGGCGGTGGTATCGGGGCCCGGCAGGGTGACTCAGCCTCCATTGCCCCGGACAGCGAGTGAAGGTTGAGATCCATCCACTCCCACAGAGTGCACTCGACCGTCTGGGTCCTCTGCCTGCCCCCCTGTCGCCCCCTCCTCCCCTCCCTCTTCACCCCCTTCACACACAGTCAATAACCGCACTGAACAGACACCGCCTTACAGTAACATTGTTCTACCCTGCAGTAACACCATCTCATCCTCTCCACTTACAGACACACCACACAACCAGCAGAGGGAGCCAGAGCTGCTTGCTCTGAAGGGTGATGACGATGAAGAGAGTAACCAAAGCTGAAAACAACCCCAACATCTGAGATATCCACCTCTTATACCACCAGGGCCTTCGTGGCAGCACCTGGCTCCCCAAGTAGGCCGGAACCACACACACACCCACACACTCACAGAAAGACTCAGGACTGGTCGCTGGAGGTCCGGAAGAAGACACTCATTATAGGTGACTCCAACCTCTCCCGGATCCCTCCTTTCACAGACCCACACATACAGGTAGACAGTTTTCCCGGAGCCAACTTCCATCACATAGCCAGCATACTTAAGAAACTCACCCCATGCCACAACACCACACAGTTAATACTCTCAGTCGGACTCAACAACTGCCTCTCAGAACACGACCCCACCACACTTAACTTCATACCTGAAATAAATCCACTACTCTTCCAGACAGACAAGGACCACATACATTGGACTGCAAACACGGCCGGGATGTTGTTCAGGTACTGGAAACAGCAATTAAACTTGTAACTGGGGACAACTGTCAAATCGCAACTCCCCACCAGTCCAACATTACCAACCTCTGTGCCATTTTCTTCCTCACAGCCGTGCAGCTGGAGATATTAGAAAAAGGCCTCATCCACACATTGGCGCCCTCTGCCACACAGAACGCACAACATTAGTCAGGATAGGGACAACACAGACAGTTAAATAACAGCACATATTATAAAACACTGACACACCCACTACAATTAGAGACACAGACACTAGTTAGAAAGATTACAGAAACACTCTACAGACAAAAATTCATCAACTTCAAACAAAAACAATATTTGGACGGTCCCAGTGAGCCCAGACTTCTTCTGTCTGCTCACCAAGATCCACAAGCCTCCTGAGACCTGGACGGTCCCCTCGGTTGTTCCGGTCGGTCGCCCCATTGTCAGTGACTGTAACTAAGAAACATACACAATAACAGAATACATAGACCATTTCATCAACCCACTCGCCAAACTTCACCCCAGTTACATTCAGGCAGTGGTTCCCAAACTTTTTTTGCCAGGACCCCCCTTGAACATAAAAATGGCTTTTGGCCCCCCCACACGTTACCGAATACATTTTGTGTGTATATATATGTGTGTGTGTGTGTGTATACAAAAAATACTGACAATAACATCCTTTATAGTCAAACATCTGTATTTTTAGAATTTATCTGAGATTTGCAAAAACAGAAAAAGAATGGCAGCATCAACGTGTGAAGATTAAACTCAAACAAGAATATCAAGCCAATTCTAAAGTAGCAATAAAGTGTATAACTGCAACATTCAACTGAACACTTTTTTAAGACAATAATTTTAAGACAATGTCTTGATCTTGAACTGCAGCCGCAGTGTTGAGTCTGAGGTCGACATCGATGAACTGTTCCTCCTCTGCAATGCTGAAGTCATCAGCTGGGGTTGCACTGAAAGGGTCTCGGATGCAGTCATACCTGCATCTGCAGATTTAGTTAATTGAGTTTTTGAAATATGTCACTGAGATATGCAAGTTTCATGAGAAAGTTGTTTAAACTTGTGGGCAAGTTCATTCCCCTCTTCCTCCAAGAAGATTCTGATCTCATCCTGCAGTTCAAACACCCTGGACACAACCTTTCCACGTGACAGCCACTGAGACTCACTGTGAAACAATAAAGCAGTGTGACCAGAGCCCATCTCCTCGCACAGTGCAGAAAATATTTGGGCTTTGACGGATCTAGTCTTTATGAAGTTTACCGTGGCAATAATATCTGTCATCACATCATTAAGCTCAGGACTCAGCTGTTTAGAAGCGAGCGCTTCTCTGTGGCTCATGCAGTGCGTCCACTGCACGTCGGGGGAGACGCGCTTGATGAGCGCCTGCAGCCCTCCCCGTTTCCCTGCCATTGCCTGGGCCCCATCCGTGCAGATGCCCCCACAGTCGTTCCATGTCAGATCGGTAAGTGTCGATGATATTAAACAGCTCAGCTGCAGTGGCTCTATTCATCACACGTTTACAGATCATCAGCGTCGTTGAATAATGTGCTTCCACTCACCGACCAGAAGTTAGCCTCCCTGTTCAGTGTAGGAATGAAGCATCCATACCTCCCCTCATCAGAGAGCTTTACTTTACTTTTACTTGTGGACTTTAAGGGAAATATCACCATGCTTCAGTTTGTTGATGGACATTGATGTTCTCCCCTCATAGGATGGATGTTTTTTAAACCCTAGCTCCACACTATTACGCCACACATAGACAAATCTAGAATTCAGGTCAGGTCTCCTCCACTCCACGATACCGTACACAGGCATTAAAAATGAATATCGATTTCCAAGTCGAGCAATTATACCCACAAACTGAACATTTTCTCTTTCTCCAAAGAACATGAGTTTTAAATTACTGTAATTAAATAATTTGTCTTTTTCTAATGAGGACCGAAGGACAACAGATTTACCTTTTCACACTTCAAAGGACATTTGCTCTGATTATTGTCGATAAGACGAGCAGGCTGCTTTTTTAAAAATCTATCACTCCTTTGTTTTAAGCGCAAGTTTACCTGAACATGCTAATGGTACCTGTTCTTAACTGTTTGAACCTCAGCTGTGCCTGATTGATGTGCCAGTGTGGACAAGTACAGCAACACTGCAGTGCATGAAATGAAAAAAACCCCCACTATGAACAGGGAACCAGGAAGACATTGAGACATGATGAAACAATAACGCCACTTCCTGTTTTAAAGATTTTCAGTGGTCTTGGTTTCTTCTTGTTTTGTTTTTTCACAGCAGATATTCGTCAAATGCAGTTATAAATTAAAAAGGTGGTTATAACCAACCATTCACGTAATAAGTTCTGTTTTGGATGTTTGCATCATCAGAGTTTAATTATTCTGGTCTGATAAAAAGTTAAAAATGGTGCTGGCGTTCTCAGCCAGAAGATGCGGAGGCGACACATAAGGAGGGGTCTGTGGGGAAATATTTTCAACCCTAACCACAAACCATGTATCGCATTAGCAGCAGAAATCCTCACCTCGTGGACACTTCAGTCATATGTTCAGAGAGTCAACATGGAGGTTTGTGCTCTTAACATCAGGCTGTGTGAGTATGATTCTTTATCTGTTTCACAGATAATTCTGTACCTGTTTTTATGAGATCTAACGTACAACTCTTCTTCTTTCCAGTGATCTGTGTGTTATTCCTGCTGGGTGCACATGTTCAAGATGTGGGTATGTACCGTTAAGTTTCTCAAAGTTATTGTTCAAATGCTTCATTTTGGTATTTTTATATAACATAAGAGAACATATTGTTCTTTGGTTTGTTTCAGATTCACTGATTCTCCGTCTTGAACCAAACAGACTGCAGTTCTTTGAATACGAGTCTCTGATCTTCCATTGTGAGGGCTCTCATGACCCGACTGGATTGAAAATTGTACATCGGTCCAAAGGGGAATTACTCAAATGTCAAACTACAGTGACATCAAAAAGGTCATCCTGCACTATTCCTAATATTTTTCCAGAGGACAGTGGGCAATACTGGTGTGAGTCCAGAGATGGGAAGAGAAGCAACATCATCCACATCAATGTTACTGGTATGTTTGCATTAAGACAAGATCTTTACATGCACTCATCTTTGTGTGATATAAAATATGATTTCTACAAAGATGGCCGCCGTATCAGAAGAAGCTCTGCAGGAAACATGAGCATCCCCAGTGTTTCCAAATGTGATGAAGGATTCTACAAGTGTATCTCTGGAGGAAGAGAATCAGCCGAGAGTCTGATGGCTGTCCAAGGTGAGACACATCAGTGTTACCAAATCAAATTTAAAAATACATGTGATATAACTATGTGTTGAAACAGTATATTGATTGATTTGAAAAGGACAGCGTACATTAATCAACATACAGACGGATGTAAATGTACTTCCATGTGGGATGGGTCTTATAAATGACCTGACATGAAAATAAAATATTAATTTATTCATGTACCCAAGTTAACAGAAGGCTCATTTTTGGCTCAGATCCTCTTCATCCCTTTGTAGGTTACCCGGTGAATCTGTGGTCTCATACTGACAAAGAGTCAAGTAAATTGTGCTAGAACTTTACACCACGAGAAGGCGTGCATTATTTCTATTTCTGTCTTCTTTGCAGAGTCACACCAAGAGATTCATGAGTCCTCAGAGCTTCCGTTCATCATCTTAAGAAATGTTCTCCTTGTAGTAATGATTGCTTTGCTGCTGGTGCTGCTGGGACGGCTCCATTGTGGGAAACTCCGAGGCAAACCCACAGGTAAACAACAGCACCTCCCATGCACTCAAATCGAGATGGAGATACTGAAATAAAGGATACGACGGGATGAACGACAAAGACAGACATTTTCTCGAAAGTCTTGTTTTGTTGCCAGAAATGAAGAGCATCCCATAATGCTTCATTCAGCTGCTCAGCTGCTGTCTTCCATGTGTTACAGTGCACCTTGTTCATTACATGTAATGATGATCCACTTATATTCAGTGCATGTTGTGCAAACCAATGAAAACATTTTTATTCAGCTTAAAGAATCCAATCCATAGAAATGTTTTGAAATGAGCAGATCAAAGAAAATGGCAGCACTTCCTGTTTGACATGGTTCACATATTTAAATCACTTGTTGGTGAATGTTCAACAGATGTTCGTTCTTCTTCTGTATAAGGACCTGAAGATATCACAAGTCAAATAACATTGTGCACAGTTTGTTTCAGTGTCTTTCTATATTTAATATTCACATCTGAGAGCACGTCTTCTCTAACCCTGACCCACGAGCCACAACTCATCTCAGCGTTATTTAGAGAGCACCTGTCATACGTAAAGTCTGTGAGCCCATAATGTTTGTGTGAACACTGTCACTGTTACAAAAGGACCCGAGATTAAAATTGTCTATAAAACCCACATCATGTGCTGCCCAAGCAATCAGCAGGTGCAGCGCGGAGCTTCTCTTCCTGCTCATATCTACATAAAATATCGACCTATAATACGAACATTTGTGATGGTAACATGAACATTTAAACTGTAATATTCCACTGAATGTTTTTATATCAACAACAATGCAAAATATGTCTGCCTCTCTGTAACAACAGCTCACATTTTATTAAAGATGTGTGATGGAAGTTTTTTTTGTGTCTTCTTTTCATGCAATGTGGTCGTTGTACAGCAGGGGGAACTCATTGTTAGTGTTGTACCAACATTAACCCATTAATAACCAGATATACTAAATTAGGTTTGTTCAGGAATAGTGTCTCAGATTTCTTTATGTTGGAGGTAGAAACTCGAAAATGGCGTTGGTGACTTAAAATGCTCGTGGCTACACAAAGCAAGGTGACCAATCTATTTCCAACACCTTGTTTGGTAGACAAAGTAATGTTCACAAAGGAAAACACATGCTAAATATTCTTCTGAGTCCAATGGTGGATACAAATTAAAGGTTAAAACAACTGTTTTATTCACAGTGAGAACCCATAAAGAAGATCTGATTTTTAATTCATTCAAAGCTTTTTCTTATTTTTTCTGTGACAAAAGTCAAAAACCTGCCACCTTCAAACCCTTCACACTTGTGAACTCTTCTAGAACTATACGTACCTGAGTCATGTTTGTGTGAAAGAAAGAGAGAGAATGTACTGCTGCCAGCCGATCAGAATCAAGAACTCTTTTCTCGAAGGTCCTGGGTTTACTTCAGATTTTGTTCAGACATTCAGTCCCCAGATGGTGAAACTCATCTTTTCGTAGAAAGAGTGAAATATTTGATCTAATTAGCATTAGCATGTTAGCATGGTCATTTTTAACATATTAGCTTGCATTGTAATAGCATTCAGCTCAAAGCATTTGAGAGCTACTGCCGTTACTGTCCACTCAAAAAGACATTTTTGTTGAACATGTTGAATATGAATCAGGATTGCTGATAAGAAGACCCTGAGAAAATACTGTTTGCATGAAAGAATAAACACCAGTACACTTCTTTAATGGCACAGTTATTTTCTGTCTTCTCATGTATGACATTTACAACCACGTTAGACTTAAAGTGTCAGACTCATTTTTTTATTTGGACTCGGTCAGCGTGCTTCAGTTGAAAGTGAAGCTGCAGCATCAAGGTGGTGGTTGACCACAGTTTCACACTCACGAAAATACACACAGCAGATGGAACATGTGGGTTTAACTGTCACCATATAATAACAGATAATACATCTGAAAATACAAACCACATCTCTTTAATATATCTTTAAACATCAACACATGTAGGGCGCAAAGCATGAAAACCATTTCTACAATGCAAAATAAAATAAAAAGTGGTTTTTCACACATCAGGTTCAACCAAACATCTCATGTGCTGCTCGTCCTTCATTCAGCAGTCACACTGCGACCTGAAGACAGAAAGGGTTAACAGCTCTGAGCATACCACATTGATATAAAAAAACACGGGTCGTATCATTCTGAGAAGCATGACAGCTAAAGTTTGAACCGAAGCATGTAGGAAATGTTGCCTTAAGTGGTGCTTTGGTTGAACATCAACGTCCAGTGACATAAACGTTTGAAAGCTGTAAATATGGGTCATGTTCGAAGTTCTGCTGTCCATCCTACCAGATATGAATGTCAGTAATGTCCTGAGTCTTACCTACTGGATCAAAGAATAGAGGGGTTCCTGTGTCAAAGGTCGGTTGGTACCAGCTGAGTGAACTGTCGCCGTCATTACTCTGGATACTCCTTGCTCTGTTTTGAGTATAGATTGAATTATCCCACACTGTTGCCAAAATACTTAGTAGAACACTTGAACATCAGGCACCATTTAGTTTACGTTTTATTACAATAAGTCTAAACCAATTTCTTGAGTGTCACTTGGGTCACCCAAAGTGGAGTTTAGTCTAAGCTACGATTATAGCCTCCTTGTTTAAGCTTGAAACGTTTCACCTTATTTAGCACATTTTTGATTTGATTTTGATGAAATGAAAGGAATTTTTTGCTTTAACCTTTCTGATCTTTTGCTATCCTGTTATTTTGGGTTCTTGGAGGCTTAGGTTTGAATCCTATTTGTTAAAACTTTCCTAAATCCTGCTACCTCTCGTGTGTGATTTATTATTCATCAACAGATGCAAATATAGAAAGACACTGAAACAAACTGTGCACAGTGTTATTTGACTTGTGATATCTTCAGGTCCTTATACAGAAGACGAACGAACATCTGTTGAACATTCATCAACATGTGAATTAAATATGTGGAACATGTCAAACAGGAAGTGCTGCCATTTTCTTTGATCTGCTCATTTCAAAACATTTCTATGGATTGGATTCTTATAGCACAACATGCACTGAATATAAGTGGATCATCATTACACATAATGAACAAGGTGCACTGTAACACATGGAAGACAGCAGCTGAGCAGCTGAATGAAGCATTATGGGATGCTCTTCATTTCTGGCAACCAAACAAGACTTTGGAGAAAATGTCTGTCTTTATAGTTCATCCTGTCGTATCCTTTATTTCAGTATCTCCATCTCGATTTGAGTGCACATGAGGTGCTGTTGTTTACCTGTGGGTTTACCTCAGAGTTATCCCACAGTGGAGCCCTTCCAGCAGCACCAGTAGCATCAGCAGGAAAGCCATCATTACTACAGGGAGAACGTTTCTGAAGATGATGAACGGAACATCTGAGGACGCACGACTCTCTTGGTGTGACTCTGCAAAGAAGACAAAAATAGAAATAATGCACGCCTTCTCGTGGTGTAAAGTTCTAGCACAGTTCTCTTGAATCATTGTCTGTATGAGACCACAGATTCACTGGGTAACCTACAAAGGGATGAAGAGGATGTAAGCCAAAAATAAGCCTTTGGCAAACTTGGGTACATGAATAAATTAATATTTTATTTTTGTGTCAGGTCATTTATAAGACCCATCTCACATGGAAGTACATTTACATCCGTCTGTATGTTGATTAATGTACGCTGTCCTTTTCAAATCAATCAATATACTGTTTCAACACATAGTTATATCACATGTATTTTTAAATTTGATTTGGTAACACTGATGTGTCTCACCTTGGACAGCCATCAGACTCTCGGCTGATTCTCTTCCTCCAGAGATACACTTGTAGAATCCTTCATCATGTTTGGAAACACTGGGGATGCTCATGTTTCCTGTAGAGCTTCTACTATTATTGTGGCCATCTTTGTAGAAATCAGCTGAGAGGTTGGGTGAGGTCGTCTTGTGTCTGCAGTGAAGAGTCACAGCCTCTCCCTCCACCACACTGATGGGACTCTCCAGGATCACAGGACCATCTGAACAACATGGGGTTCATATTTTATATCACACAAAGATGAGTGCATGTAAAGATCTCGTCTGAATGCAAACTTACCAGTAACATTGATGTGGATGATGTCGCTTCTGTTCCCATCTCTGGACTCACACCAGTATTGCCCACTGTCCTCTGGAAAAATAGTAGGAATAGTGCAGGATGACCTTTTTGATGTCACTGTAGTGTTACATTTGAGTAATTCCCCTTTGGACCAATGTACAATTTTCAATCCAGTCGAGTCTTGAGAGCCCTCACAATGGAAGATCAGAGACTCGTATTCAAAGAACTGCAGTCTGTTTGGTTCAAGACGGAGAATCAGTGAATCTGAAACAAACCAAAGAAAGACATGTTCTCTTATTTCACCAGAAAGTACCAACTGAAGTTAAAATACAACTAAGCATCAACCTGGTACTTACCAACGTCCTGAACATGTGCACACAGCAGGAATAACACGTGGACCACTGGAATAACAAAAGAGAAGAGCTCCACATTGAGTGAGTCGTGTTTTAACAGTCGTATAGTCAACTGATTCTTACAGCTCCTAAAGCTGCCTTTGATGTTTGACTTTTACATTTTTATCTTTCAGGGCGAAAATCTCATAAATATTCTGAACCTGAAAGTCTTTCCAAGCCCCAAGAGAACCCTCTGCATTAAACCATCATTTCCATCCTAACCTTGAACGACTACACTCTTTAGTTTTAACCAAATGTACTCACAGAGTTTGATGCAGAGCGCGCCGACCTCCATGTTGACTGTCTGAACACCAAGCTGAACTGAAGTGTAACTGAGGAGGGGCTTCTTCCTGTGTGGCCTATTTATGCTGCTCATGTAACCCTACGTTTGACTCTTAGATTTTTTTCAAAACGACGTTCACACTGACTGAGCTGCTGTGGTGGTGGTAAAGCCTCTGTTGATAGATTAGCATCATTGGGCGGAGCCAAAAAACGAAGTGGACTGCTATGATGTGAAAACATTGATACAAACACGTAAAGTCAGACAGTTTGAATTAAAAAGGTCAGCTGTTAAAAATATAAACACAAGATATCTGCAGACATAACTGCAGGCTGAAACTGTAAGCCCTCATCTTTCGGTCACTTTACTCATTTGATGGTCAGGTGTTGCTGCTGTGAGCTGGAAACAACCTGCAATAGAAACATCCACACAGTTTAAAGTATCAATATGGACGACTTTCAGCGTTTTCCAAGTCCTGCTGGGACACATGTCCTCTAATTCTTGATATATTCTACAGCTGATAGTAAGCCAACTTTGTAATTGTCTTCAAGCAACAATATGTTGGAATTTGTGCTGCTCCTCCCCCTCATGGCCAACGTGCATTTGTTTGACAATCAGAGACTTTGCGGACTGATGAGGTTCAGTTATATTACAGGAACCCTTAGTTTGGGGTTGACTGAAAACACGGGAGACAAAATGACGGGAGGAGACTAGGAGGTACTCATATTTATTGACAACAAAGTGAATGCGTCGATTAAAGAAGGATTGTGAGGATGTGGACGTCAGCTAATCGACCTTGTAAGGGTGTATGCATGAGTGGAGGTATGGTGAGCGAGGTGTGCTGTGGAAAGTCAAACAAAAGGAAAGAGCAGCATGGTTGAACTGGGGGAACAGTCTTTCTCCCTGCCCCCCACCCCAATGAGGAAGTGGGGCCTGCTCTTATCGACTGGGGACACAAGTCCCATGACGACCTGCCACACCTGTGCAACACTCAGTGGTGATGATATTGAGTAATATGTTTCTGTGATCATGAGACCTGAACAGTTGTTGTGGTAGATTTCCAATTTCACAATCCTGTAAAGAAAAAAAAATAGTCATGCTGTTTGAGGTTAGTTCAGTGTGGTGAGACCAGCAGCCCAAATGAAGCAGCTATAACGGGCTCTGATGTCCTCCCAGATCGCTGTAACATGAGACTGTCTTCATCATCAACTCAAAGGTACCAATCTGTGTTCTCATTATAAATATCACTGAGAATACATAGAAGTTTGACTGTTTGAGCTTTGTTTCACTTCTGCATTCACCTGCTGATTATAATCAGTTTAAAAAGCTTGTTGGAAACCAGAGAGATGTAGGAAGGGGTGTAAGGTTGAATATCTAAATAATGTGTTATAGTAGACATTTGGAATGTGTTGTAATCTCAAATTTCAATAAAACTCTTGTAACTTTAACAATACTGAATAAAACAGCTATATGTGTAAATGTTGGTAATGAATGAGGGGTTAACCCTAACCCTAACCCTAACCCTAACCTGGAGAACCTACAAGTTACAGGCCCTGCAACACAACAGAAGGTGGTCCATAATGGACAGAAAAAAGTGAGTGATGGGGTCAAAGGGCCACCTGGGTGAGTCAATGGACCGTGCACACCAGAAGGGGGAGCCACTGTTTTTGTCTTTTAGAGATGGCTGCAACTGATCCTAACCCCAATGGAGATGGTAAGCCTGTTATAAAAATGATAAATCAAATAATAAAGTAAACATCGAACCAATGAAAAGGCCAGAGATGTGACGTTAACCCTGCAGAAATGTGCAGTTTGTTCTGCCACATTGTGCAACGCCTTGTAACCTTTTATTACCCTCCACACTGAAGCAGTGGAGTCCAATGTGAGCAGAGGAGGCCTGTGTCTGCTTTGTGCTGTTCCCTTTTGAATTCAAATATGTCCAGGAAATGTTCTCTTGGAGTCTCTGCATCATGCTGCCCTCTGCTGTATCTGTCAGAGAAGCACTTTATTATCTTCCATAGAAGGAAATATGAACAGAAATGGTAAATGGGGTTAGAAAGTAAATTAGTTATACTTATAAATGAAGTTTACTTTTTATAAATTTGATACATTCAAGTATGGTATTTTTTACATTAGAGCTGAAGAAAGAAAATGTTGAACTGAGCATGTGTCACTTAATCAAATGGCTGTTTTTCCATTCATACTCGACGCACCTTGAAGTTTGGAAATTTGCATCAATTCTAAGTTTAAAAAAGTTTATATGGGGCGCTGGTGGCGCGGTGGTTAGTGCGCGCGCCCCATGTATGGAGGCTGTCGTCTCAAGCGGGCGGCCTGGGCACACATCCCACCTGTGGCTTCTTTCCCGTATGTCATTCCCCACTCGCTCCCTGATTTCCGACTCTATGCACTGTCCTATCTCTCCATTAGACCTAAGTTTATATATAGGTCTAATTTTTCACATTTTAAAGATAAATGGTTTTGTAAAACAGAGTGGATTCGGACCAACGTTGTTGCTGCTGAATTCTTCTTTGTCAACTGGTCTGCACATTCAGCAGTGAAAACCTGTGAGAAAATGTACATAAATAAATCATAATGTCAAACAAGGCAAAGTTAAGAAAAGGAAAACTCTCTCTCTCTCTCACACACACACACACACACACACATTAAGTAAGCACAAGAAATGGTGTGGGGTTTCATGAAGGCTTGTCTGTAAATGTGAATTTGTAGTTGCTTCTTGAAACTGCCTATCTGATGGTTTGTGGGAGTTGATCCAGAGAGTAGGGGCTAAAACAGCAAAAGCACGATCACCTTTTGTTTTATAAGTAGAGCACGAGATGGAAAGAAAGCCGAGGTGAGATGATCTGAGTGGACGAGGGGTGGATTATGGAATGAGAAATAATCAAATTATATATATTCAGAGAAACTTGAAGGTAAAAGCCAAGGCAATGGTTGACAAAGTTAATTTTCAAAAACCTTTCATCAATGAAAATAGGCCTACTTAGCATTAATTTCACATCACGTCACTCAGTGCGGCTTACCGCTGCAACTTTCCTGATTGGATTTGATATAATCTGTATGGCCAGGTCACACACTGGGTCAGCTCATACACCTACTGTGCGTGCTAGCTGTAAACCTTTACCCATACCAGATGAGTAACATGTATATGCCGATGATAATGTGACACTCAAGTGGTTCTTGACGGTGCCAAGGTCATTACAGGAGCTTATTCTGGATGTGAACACCACAGGAAGTGTTGAAAGCATCCCATGGAAAGAAGCCTTGTCCATTTCATCACGTCATGGTAAGACTGCTTCAATGATCATAATCTGTAAAGTACTTTGGGAAATTAAGAATAGATGATCATCCCATTCTCTTTTACAAGTTTGTCTAATAATCAATCTTTGGGTACCCTTACCATTTTCATGGAGTGCACCAGGCATCCAAGTCAATATGATTTCAACCCAATATTTTGCATGATTTTTTTAATCTATTTCTAACCACCTAGCCAACATTTTGAATCTTGTATATTGTATCAATGACTGCAATTGTTTTTCTGAGTCAAACAATGAATAAACGCTAAAACCATTTTCTACTCACTACAGTGGCCCAAGTACTATATATTTGATGTTTTAGAAAGGGGTGTTTTTGCTTCTTATCAGGGTAATGATGTGTGAAAGAGCCTATCAGTGTTGGTCTTGACCGGTCTTGATTTAAAATCTGGAATCTGTCCAGTCTGAGACCAAGACAAGACCGACTAAAACTGCTTTTGATTACAAGACTAAAGTGGTTTCGAGACAGTAGCCTACTTGATGGATGGACCATTGTAATTGTTTATGTACACAAGTCAATAGGCCTAATTCTGCAACATCATTTTTTCCTTGATATGATTATTTACTTCTCTGTTGTTCCAGGGACACAGCACCTTCTGACCATCTTCCTTCAGGTTCTCTTGAGCTCCGGCTGCTGTGAGCCTTAAGATGAAACCAAAGTGCTGTGCCTTCATTATCTTTTCTCAAACATGGATGCAGAAACAGGAAAAAGCTCCTGCTCTCCTGGTCCTTATGACCTGTTTGTGTTTCCTGCCCTGTCCAGCACAGGCAGCCTGGTTTCAGGTTGGAGTGGTTGGACCGTGGGGATGTGATCCCCTCTTTGGCAAGGCCCTTCCCAGTGTGGCAGCACAGCTGGCTGTCAACCGCATCAACCGGGACATGGCGCTTTCCAAAGCTGCAACATTTGACTATGTTGTACTGCAGGTATGAAATATGTTCTCAGGTTTGATCAGACAAACATCGTAAACCAAAACCATATGTAGAAGATCAGTTGTCATTGTGCGTACTGATATAGTACCACTGTAATATATGTGTGCAGAAAAACCAAGGCAATCCTGAGTTAGCCAAGGAAGCTATATTATGGTCAATAGGGTAATTCTTACCTTTCTACTGCCCTGTGTTCCCAATGTCCTAAGTTCTAAGGGTTTGATAACGTAAGAGTATATGCTCCCTCAGATATATTGGTGCATAATGGTAACATGACAAAGGATCCTGTGTTCTGAGCATCCTATGTTCCCTACTTCTGAATGTGTGCCCTCCTACGGCCTATTTCCCAATGTACCTTGTATCCGGGACACTATGATCCCAAAGTCCTTATTTGCCAGTGTCCGATGGGTCTATGTTCCTTAGATATATCTGGCACCTAATGAGAACATTACGATGAATCCTGAGGCCCAAGTGACATATGTTCCCCAGTTCTATGCCTGTGCTCTCTCAAGGCACTATTACCTACTTTCTAAAAGGATGTACAGTATGTCTCAGGACCCTATGTCCCAAAGGGTAACTGTGTCAAAGGTCCTATCTTTACAGGTGCCTGTAATCCCACAGTCCTGTTTCCTGGGTCATATGCCCCAAGGTCTTGCGTTAGTGGTACTACTTGTCTGAAGTTGGGACTGGTTGTTGTATGGTTAATATATGGGTTGACTGAGCTGTTACTTCACTCTTTAGGAGCCATGTGAAACATCAAGAGCACTTGAAGCATTCATTGGTTTCCACACTAAGGCCTCAGGGTACATCGGACCAGCAAACCCTGGCTACTGTGATGCTGCTTCAATGCTGAGCAAAGGCTGGAGCAAAGTAAGTTATTTTAGTTCGGTTTACATTTTGTGTGGTCATATTAAAAACAAAATGAAATAATTGTTTTCCTGTGTTTTCCTGTGTTTTCTATTCCTGTAGGCATTGTTTTCTTGGGGTTGCGTTGGCTATGAGCTGGACGATGTTCGGAACCACCCAACTTTTGCCCGCTCTGTGACAAGGCCCACCTTGGTGCTGATCAGTATCATAAAGTACTTCAGGTGGGCCCACATTGGCATCATCTCTTCCTCAGATGACATCTGGGTGGAGACAGCCACCAAGGTTTGTATTTTTTGATATTCTTTTACTAAGAAAGAGGAGGATGCACTCAATGGTTTGACATATGCTCCCTTTACTTGCTGTTTTTTGGATCCACATTTTCCTTCTTGTAGTGCATGGTTTAAATCTGGTCGGTTTTGGGTTTGTCACTGTCACTCCAGGTGGCTGATTCCCTGAGGAGCCATGGTCTGCCGATCAGACTGGTCAATATTATGGAAAACACACCTCACGGCATAAGACGAACCCTGGTAAAGATCCGCAAGATGGGAGAAATAAAAGGTGAGTTTCAGTTTATGTTTACCGTTCAGAACATCAAAAAGAACTTTCCATTGAACCCTGAAAATCTTTGCTTATTTTTCAGTTCAACACCTATTTATTGCCTCCCATGGTGGCCCAATGTCCAAGATGTTAGTCCGAAGGCTGTCTAGAGTGCACTCAATGTGTGAAAAGTAATTGTGCCTTTGAATGGTTATATGGGTTCCATTTGTTTGAGTCACATTGGAAACTATTTTATGTCTCGTTCTAGTTGTGATCCTCTGCATGCATTCAGCACTTATTGGCGGCGTAGTCCAGAAACTGCTCTTGGAAACAGCATTTGACATGCAGATGATCGACGGCTCCTTGGTCTTCGTGCCCTACGACACCCTGCTCTACAGCTTGCCCTACCGCAACGTGTCCTACCAGGCCTTGAAGAGCAACAGCAAACTGCTGCGGGCCTATGATGCTGTGTTGACTATCACCATTGACTCGCCACAGGTGTCATTTTATGATGCATACAGCGAGGCCATGGAGAGGCGGGAGATTGCAAGGACACTGATGCCCCAGCAGGTGACGTATGGAAGGGTAGAGATTGGACAAGAAGGTTGTGCAATGTTGAGATGTCCTTGAGCACGTCAGATCAAGTTGAAATCTGTCTGTGTACCTTAGGTGTCTCCACTCTTCGGCACCATCTACAACTCTATCTTAGTCATGGCTCATGCAATGCATCATGTCAGGAAGTCTGGAGAGTGGATGTCTGGTGGAAACCTAGCAAGAACCTGGCACACCAGCAACCTGTCCTTCCAGGTACTGAGAGAATAGTAGATAAGATAAAGTTTTTACGAGAGTCAAAACTATTACCACAATGGTACTCTCTTTTGTAGTGTGTAAAACCATATTTGTAGTTGCCCTGCATGACAAAATGTCAAAAATAATTTACAAAGTATCAGTTCTAACGACATATCCTAATGATGCTGCAGGGATTCAGCCACTCTGTCAAGTCCAACAGCATCGGAGAAGTTCTGCTGGACTACCTCATACTGGACACTGATGGACTTTCCTGGGATCTGATACCAACATATAGGTATGTGAGATTTGGGTTTTAGTGCCATTCGCCTACAACAGAACTGGAACTATTAGAGAGATAAGCAATGAGAGATGTTTTGATTGTCTATAGATTTCCCTTAAATTGGGAAAAATGGATGCAGTGCTCTCTAAGGTGCATAGATATTAGATATTCTAATGCACTGCCTTCAAGGGTGCCCCTCCAGCAGAAGAAAAAAAATTAAGCATAGTGACTAACCAGTAATGAAACCCACCTCCAATGCAGACTGGAGTGTACTTTGAGTGGAGTAAACCATATGCAGTTTCTAATAGGTTCCATCTTTACTGAAGATCCATGATTCAGTGCCATATCAGCTGGCCTACTTGCTATAAAAAAATCTGCCTCTTCAACCCATGGAAAATGTACCTTGACTCAAAAAACAGAAAGCTATTGCAGGTGTTCTTGTTGCATTAATAACATGATGTAACTGATATATGACAGGATTGACATGGAGTCTGGTATGGTGCGTTTCCTTGGTCGAGATATTCACTTCCCACTTGGCTACAGACTCAGAAGGGACTCGTCGTGTTGGTTTACTCCTGGAGTCATCTGCTCAGGAGGTAAGGAACACAAGCAAAAAATATAAAGTGTACATCAATGGGAGCTGGCTGTAGTCGAGGATTCTGCACATGTACATATTCCTTTCAATCAAAACCCTTTTTTTCTGTCCTAGGTGTAGATTTGTTCTTGACAATCAGCATGTTCCTCGGAGCTATGGCTTCTTCCGTTTTTGCTGCAGTATGTGTTTACTGCATCAGGTACAAACTTAGAAGGAAGTCATAAATCATGCCATTTTGGTTTTGAAGGCCCAGAGTAACACTGATGTTGAAATTTGTTATTTTAGATTCAGGAAGCAATCAAAACATATTTCTGTAATACCAGGACTGATTTATAATAGTATATCACTCACTCCTCACTCTAACCCTGTTCTCTTATTGCCTAGGCGACATGTAAATCGGATTCGCATGGTAAGGGGTCCAAACAAGATCTTGCTGACTCTGGATGATGTTACGTTTATAAGTCCATCGCTTAGCAACAAGGTCAGCCCCTGTTTGAAAACGTGTCTGTCAATGCCACATAAAAAAATAATATGTAAGAGGAGGCTGTTGTAAATTTTTATTTATTGTATGTGCAACACTTCTTCAACTTTTAGGTTTCACTGACAGTGTAAGTGGCAGTTTTTCTCATACTGAGTTAAACCTAACCCTTTACAATTATCTCACTTTTTTTAAACTCAACTCCAAATAGAAGCTGAGTCTGGTTGACAGCAAGATTAGTGGCATGAAGAGTGTGTCGGAGTGCAGCGTTGTGTCACCAGTCTCCACCAAATCCCCAGCCACCTATGAGAACTCCAATGTTGTCATTTACGAGGTGAGACAGTGAATTTAACAAGTTTTGTACAAGGGTAGAAAAACAATATGTTTGAACACTTCAAGTCATAGGTATTCCCCTTTCATAGTCCTTCATTAGCGTCATATGGATGCATTACAAAGTGTCTTATCAAGAAAGCAAGGAATATATGAGAAAGAAAAAACAAATTATGTAACAGTTGCCATTAAAATTCTGATGGATTACATTATGCAAAATGCACATCAGTATTTATATATATAATAAAAGGTTTGTTCCTAGCTTAAGCATTATCATTTCAGCTGTGCATTCATTAAATGCTTGACTGATATATATATCACAAGTACAACAGCATGATGTCAAAACCATTCAAAAAACGCAGCGTTCCCAAGAACGAAATTGTCGATGTACGTGAGCTGGATCTGGATCCAGTCCAACATCTCATTTCTAGTTCTTGCTTAGCCTGTGCTTTACCCTTCCACCAACTTTGATTATAAAAGGGCTTGTAGTTTTTCCATAATCCTGCTCAAAAACATTACATTAAGAGACACAGAAAACACAACCTCCTGCAGGTAATAACTGACACATGCTCAAGTTTTTAGAGGCTGTATTGTCATTGTATTGACCTTATGTTTGCTTGTTCTTATCTCTAGGGTGACTGGGCGTGGCTGAAGAGACTACCTGATGGGAATTTCAGCCGCATCAACCCCAAAACCAGTCTTGTGTTTGAACTGGTACGAGATATTGTTGTGAGACAAACACAGCTGACAAATCCAACTTTATTTAGTGATGAAAAACTAAGTTACGAAAAGGAACTGACATAATGAGGAATTGTTTCTTTGGCTACAGATGAAGGACATGCGCCATGAGAACGTCAATCCCTTCTTGGGCTTCTTTCACGACTGTGACGTGTTTGCCATCGTAACTGAGTTCTGCTCGAGAGGCAGTTTGGAGGACCTTCTGCTAAATGAAGATGTCAAACTTGACTGGATGTTCAAGAGTTCTCTGCTACTGGATTTGATAAAGGTGAGTTCAAAAATAAAGGTAGAATGGGAACAAATACAAGTGGTGAGGGCATTTTAAGGAAGCTTTGTCCTACCTCAGTGTGAAAACCTTAAAAAATGTAAATTGCTTGTTTTCTGTCTCAGGGCATGAAATACCTCCATCACCGTGGAGTATCCCACAGTCGCCTGAAGTCCCGTAACTGTGTGGTGGATGGGCGTTTTGTCCTAAAGGTCACAGACTATGGCTACAACGAGGTTCTGGAGGCTCAGAGGTTCCCTTACATTGAACCACCAGTAGACGGTAAGGGAAGAGATGAGATTTTAAGCCAGGTTTACATTTGAGTTGCCACTACAGCAGTACACTAATGAAGTTCTTTGTGTTCCAGAAATGCTGTGGACAGCTCCAGAGTTCCTGAGAGTCTTTGGGCAGCCAGGGCTTCATGGAACTCCAACTGGTGATGTGTACAGCTTTTCCATTGTCATGCAGGAAGTTGTGATCAGAGGGCCTCCGTTTTGCATGCTGGACCTGTCCGCCAAAGGCAAGATTACTACTTCAAAAACTTGATTTAAAGGAGTGGTATTCTGGTTGTGTCTCTGGTCGGTTGAATCCACCCAAAATTCTGATTAAACTTTTCTTTAGGCTACACAGAAATATTGCAGGAAAATTTGCTGCATGAGGCGTTTCAAAATGTGTTGCTATCATAAATGCTAACATGAGGCTCATATTTGTGGCTCAGAGATAAATACCTTCTGAACTCATGGATAGATCACTACACAATTAACTAAAATTTAAATCTGACACAAAGAGTTGTCGAATCCTTTGCTTTTGACTAAATTTCCGCAAAACTAAATACCAATGCATTAGCCTCAGTTGTAGTTTCTGTTATTAATATGTTGATCTCTGTTGGTGAGTATGTCAAATTGAGTTGTAGTTTTGTGTAGTGTTATGCCATGTTAGAATAGGCCCTGAGAGCATGTGAGAATGCTGAAAGTTATTTAGCTCAAAGTCGTTTGAGAATCACCAAACTCTGGGCAACATGAGTGTCCAGGTGTTTAAAAATATTTCAATCTCGAGAGTTTCTCAAAACATTGTGACACTGCTAGATGAATTTTCTTTGTGTTGTAGACATAATAGAGAAGCTACGTAAGCCTCCTCCGCTATGTCGCCCAGTGGTGAGTCAAGACTACGCTCCATTAGAATGCATCCAGCTGATGAAACAGTGCTGGAGTGAACAGCCGGACAAGAGACCCAGCTTTGAGGAGATCTTTGACCAGGTAGCCGTTTTTCTGTACTATCAATTTCTATGCAAAGCAGTGCCAAATTTCCCTGCTTTTATAGAGCGCATTGGCGAATTTAGCTAGAAGTCAACACTGTTTGAGAAAAGGGTTCTGTTGCGTATACTCTACCGAACTAGCTAAACATCTTGTTATGTTTTGTCCTTTGTATTGTATTCCAGTCTTTTCTGTTCTTTGCATTATTATCATCCTAGTTTAAGGACATCAACAAAGGGAAGAAGACCAACATCATAGACTCGATGCTGCGGATGTTGGAGCAGTACTCGTCTAACCTGGAGGAGCTGATCAGAGAGCGAACAGAGGAGCTGGAGATCGAGAAACAGAAGACGGAGAAGCTGCTGACACAGATGCTGCCTCCGTAAATAAACATAGACACACTTGAAACTCGTACACATATTCATATGAAGATTAAAAGTGGCTTCACAAACGTTTCTTTCCTCAGGTCCGTGGCCGAGGCCCTGAAGGTCGGAGGAACAGTCGAACCCGAGCATTTTGAAAGTGTGTCTCTTTACTTCAGCGACATCGTTGGCTTCACAACCATCTCAGCCAACAGTGAACCCATCGAGGTGGTCGACCTGCTCAACGACCTCTACACAGTGTTTGACGCCATCATAGGAAACCATGATGTCTACAAGGTGCTGAGGTTTAATACTTTTAATATCGGTTCTGCAGAATCCCATTGAATCTGCATTGAATCCCATTAAAACATCTTTTTAGGTGGAGACTATCGGCGATGCGTACATGGTGGCGTCAGGCGTTCCTGTCCTCAATGAGAACCGGCATGCTGCAGAGATAGCAAACATGGCTCTGGACATCCTGAGCGCGGTGGGAACTTTCAAAATGAGACACATGCCAGATGTTCCTGTCAGGATTCGAATAGGACTACACACAGGTGATAAAGGGTCAAATGTACAGCCTCCATCACTCAAATTGCAAACTTGACCAAACCTACAAGAAAAGACACCTAGCCTCCACATTGACATACAAACACTTGCACACTTGCACATACTCCTTATAAACTCCTGGGGCTTTCGGGGTGACTTTAAAGGCTTACTATGAGATTTTTTGATCCAGCAGATGTTGCCCTTGGGCACCAGCATGAAACCAAAACAACTTGCGGTGCATTGTTGTGTTAGCATGCTAATGCTAGCGATCTTTATTATGCTCGTATCTTCACACTGCATGTAAATTTACCTGAAATGACCGTGATCTAGAAACACAGTTAAGCAGTGAGTACAGTATGTTATTCTTCTTTTCTCTAGTCCCTCAATTAAACAACTTTTATACGCAAGGGGTTTAGCTGGCCGGCTTTCCAGGCGATGTAAACAAACTGAAGATAGGACTCGGAAAAGACGGAAAACATCACAGACAGTGGGACTCGGGTGTTACACCCATTGTAGACAGTCATGACTCACAGAGTTATTTTCAGAGGATAACAAACAAACATTTAAGTGTGAAAAATCGCATATTAAGCCTTTAACGTAGCTAGCTGAAAAGACTCAAATATCAACATGTGTTTGTTTGACTGTTGCAGGTCCATGTGTAGCCGGTGTGGTTGGTCTCACTATGCCTCGTTACTGTCTGTTTGGAGACACGGTGACCACTGCTTCTCGAATGGAGTCCAGCGGGTTACGTAAGTTACAGAAAGATGATTAGAATTCAAAATCCCACAAAGTTACTAGTCGTCGTCGTCACAGAGAGTTCTAGTTCGACTAATTTCGTAAAGTTTCAAAGATTCTCAACTGAATCATAATGAACAAGATGAAAAAAAACAAGATTGTTGCTGAAGTTCAAATAATTACAAAACACAGTTGGTAGAAACAGATTAAATTGTCTTTTTCTTTTCCTGATTTTCTGTTTATTTGGCTTTTTCTTTGGTGTCCTGCAGCCTACAGGATCCACGTCCACGAGACTACAGTCAAGGTTTTGCAAGATCTCAATCTCGGCTACAGATTTGAGTTGAGGGGCAAGACGGAAGTCCAGGTACAAGCTTTAAAGAGACAATCGACCTCTCTTTATATGGGTTATCTTTCTGTCTCTCACTGTCTATGTCTGTTTCTCTCTTCTTTTAGGTGCAGGGGAAAAAAGCAGAGGACACATACTGGCTTGTTGGGAGGGCAGGATTTACCAAACCGCTTCCTGTCCCTCCAGACGTCAAGTCTGGGTAGGAAAAACGTTCATCTCTACTTTTGAATCTTTACCCTATACCTCGATCTATTTTGACCTACGATGATCACGTCGTCTCAACAGGCAAATGGCCCACGGGCTGCAGATGGCCGAGATCGCCCAGTACAAGAAACGAAAAGCTGAGAAACTACAACAGGAAAAAGATTCAAAGAAGAGAAACTGAGGTAATATTGTGTTGTATTTATGTCATTGTGCTGTTTTTTATGGATGTATTGACTGTATGGACCTCTGTTGCAAACCAAATTGCCCCTCTGGGACAATAAAGACTTTCCAAATCCAAATCCAACCCAAGTCCCTACAAAATTAGCAAAGGTTTTGTGCATTCAGGGCCTTAATCATTTTACGTTAAGGTTTCTCTCCTCTGTTTTCTCTACTCAGCCCAGCTCGTTCATCAGCAGTGCAACAATCAAGCCAAATGATGACCATCCAATTCAGGCGGAAGTGATCTAACGCAGGATAAAAAGTGACTTTGCATCAGTGTTTTCCTTCTTCATCATCCTTTTGATAACCATTCTTAAGTTTCTTAATGGAATCCTCTTCCTACTCATCATCCACTGGGAAACGTTACAAGCTGGAGAAACCATCCTGTGAAAGTGTTAGTTGAGATTATCAGTGTGCGTGCGTGCGTGCGTGCGTGCGTGCGTGCGTGCGTGCGTGCGTGCGTGCGTGCGTGCGTGCGTGAACTATGTGTAGAGGTCGAGAAGTGGTGACTCAGCAAAGCAGGGATGTGCAGAAGCTGTGTGTCAGCCTCATCCTCCTTAGCTTCTCCGTTCCTCCGTCTGAAGGGAGACGAGGGAAAGGGAAAAGGAAGTTAACTCATTGTAGGAAAACCGACGTCAGTATTCCAAGATTTAAAAAATAAGCAGGTCAAGATCTGAAGAAAATTATCGTTTCTTTTTTTACGTTATCACAGGAATTCGTATAAATGTCCTCTGAACGTGATCCGTATGAGAATTGTGGTTGCAATTAAAACAAAGTTGATCTTTTCTTTACTGGTTCTATTTGTTAACATGTTCACATTGAATGTTTTTGCTGTGTTTAGAGTTTTAGTGAGTTAACCAGACCTGTTTCTCTGTAAATATGAATAAATGTTAGAATCAGGAAGTTGTTTTGAAGAAAATTGAGCTTTTTTCTATAGTTGTAGCAGCAGAACTGATTCCACTTTGTTATAGAGATAAAACCTGCATGACAAACATGGAAATACATATTATTTATAAGTTATAAGTTCTGTGTTGAAATTCCGTGTATGTGTCTGTGTGTCTGTGTGTCTGTGTGTGAGCAAATTCACAGACAAGCCTACAGCGCCCCCTGGTGATGCAACAGAAGAAGGAAAACTACAGTTAGTTTAAGCCACAGATGGCCTCCTGCAGCTCTGAGGATTATCCCTGCTGATCCTCCCTCTGTGTTTGTGTGTGTGTGTGTGTGTGTGTGTGTGTGTGTGTGTGTGTGTGTGTGTGTGTGTGTGTGTGTGTGTGTGTGTGTGTGTGTGTGTGTGTGTGTGTGTGTTTAAAATACATACAGTGACAGGCAGAGCTTTCCAAACTCCTCTACCTAACCTAACCCCTGTGGTGTAGTGCAGAGTATACAAAGGTATACAAACTTATTTTTCAGTCTCCATACGGTATACCCACTTCTAAATCTCCTCTGATTCACACCCTTGATTAACTGACTATATTCAGTAGTATGCTGCACTTTTTTCCTAGACTTCATGAAAATCAGTTTCTATGGAACTGATGCAAATTGATTTGACATTTTTCAGTTGTTTTGTTTAAATAACGATATTATAACGATAAGATATTCAAGACGAAAATAGAAATTAAAAGAAAGTCAACACGTGTGAACTTCCACATCATAGAAATGAACATTATTTATTTAGCACCTTTAACACAGATGTTTACTATAGACTGTAAATGACTGCACTTCAGTCTCCATCCGTTGTACTGAATTGAAGCCACAACACCTCCTCGAAGGGCGCTGACGTAATGTTCTGGTGACTTCATTTGGAGTTTAAGTTTCTCAGGGTCTCGGGGTCTTGGGGTCTTGTTCATGAGTGACGGTAAGAAGAACCGTGAGATTGACGGGCGGATTGGGTCAGCGTCCGTAGTAATGTGGGCAAAGCTGTTGTGGTGAAGAGGGAGCTGAACCTGGAGGCAAAGCTCATGGTTAACCTGTCGATCTTAGTTACAACTGTCACATGTGATCATGAGCTGTGGGAAGGGACCAAAAGGAAAAGATTGCAGAGGTTGGCTGGGCTCAGTCTTAGAGATTGGTGTAGAGACACTGCCCCTTAACATCGAAAGGAGCCAGTTGAGGTGGTTTGGGCATCTGATCAGGGTGCCTCCTGGACGCCTCCCTTTGGAGGTTTTACTGGCACGCCCAATTGGGAGGAGATCCCGAGGAACACTCAGAATTCCCTGGAGGGATTATATATCCTGTCTGGCCTGCGAATGTCTCGGAATCACCCGACGAGACCTCAGATAAGCCGAACAAAATGGATGGATGAATGAGTGGATGGATGGATTGATGGATTGATGGATGAATGGATGGACACCATTTGCAGCCAAGACATGCACAGAAGGGAACTTGCCCGTCAAGCCACGGAATTGAAGCCACCTCCCTTATGCTAACTGCAGCACACTTTAACGTACCCATAAAATTTGTACGGTCCACAACGGAACAGATTCTTGTGTCGGTTTGAAGCAGACACATTTTATCGAGGATCATGGGATGTTTTGCTAAATGTTAGTTATCTTCATTCGCTTCTGGTTGTAGTTGGAGATAGAGAAGCATGCAATAAAGTTGTGATTGGACATGCGTGCAAAAACTGTCTGTTTGGTCACCACAATCCCTCGAATGCACCAAAAAAGAAAATCATTAATTTCTACATTTATGTGCATCTGAGATTCATGTTTCCTCTGACCGACTGCAAAGAGCTCCCAACGGGCCGTCGCGTGTCAGAGCTATAGAGCCCAGATTATGAGGGGATTTACGCGGGGATCCGGGCGTTAATGGCGGTAGGAATGGGTTAGTTTAGATTATGGTATAGTGATATAGAATAAGGAGGAATATGGATTGGAAAGATTAGAGAATATTGAGGAAGCTGGTCAGATTAAACCAGGATTATTTATATGGATGTCATCCTCAGGGCAAGCGTCATTTATCACCATAAATATACAGAAACCCTTACCCTCTATGATGACAACATTACATCACATTACAGATTTGTTTTAATTCCCTTTTTGCAATCCTGCAGTTTGTGCTCTACTTTCAGTAAATTCATCACAGTTTATTAAGCAACTTAATAAAATAAAACTCATTGTAAAAATTGTGCCATATAGGTTCTCTCTGCAGGCATCTTGTTGTGACCATATATGGTGTTTTGTAGAGGAGTACACTGTAAAATATCTCAAATCTTAGCAAGCGTATTTGTCTAATATCTAGTCATAAATATCTCACTCACGCTCTGCAGACCTGCAGACATTAAAGCCTGTGAGGGTTCAGTGCTTATAGGTTTTAGGGTGGAGTAGTGTTGTAGTCAAGACCAGACTAACTGATGCCAGAGTGCTCGCTTTGCCTGATTAACTCAAATAATTATCCCGCTCTGCAGTGTCTTCAGAGGAGACAGAAATCGGGGCTTTAATGCATATTTTTGTGTATTTGGATGTATATGTGGTAGTTGTGGATCAGCTGCTAGAGTCGGTCCTCTCTCAAGCAGAAGGTTGAGGGTTCGATCCCCAGCTCCTGCAGCAACATGTCTGACATGTATATGCAAGACACTCAACCCCAAGTTGCTCCTGCAGCTTCGTCTGCAACGTGTGAATGTGCATGAATGGATGAGTTAATACTGATGGTCTCTTTACTCAGCAGCCTCTACCATGAATGTGTGAATGTGTAGGTGTGACCTGCAGTGTGTAAAAGCAATTTGAGTAGTCAGAAAACAAATAAAGCGCTATACAAGCTCAAGTCCATTTCTTGTTTATATTACACTTTTGTGCTTTTGTTTTGAAGGCAGTTGTGCATGTTGGCCACATAGAGAGCTTTCAAAATAAATCAAAGTTCATATTCAATAATACTGCTTGATAATTAACTGATTACAAACTTAAACACAATAAATTATACTTCTGTTAGCTCTCATCATATACAGTACTGAGGTCACAGTTAAAATAGGTGTATTAGTTTGAATGTGAATTTTGAACCTGTGCAGATTTAAACATTTTGTTCACAGCTGAATTTTTAAATAAAGCTGTCTGTGTGTGTTTGTATTGAACTGTCAACAGCAGCAGCAGTCATGTCGCAAAGTGTGCTGCTTCTGAAATAACAGAGTGAGAGAGTAACAAAGAGAAGCATGCTTTCCTTTGTGTTTCCTGTGTGTGTGTGTGTGTGTGGTTCAGCTTTGTTGGCTCCGCTCCTTTGTTACAGCACAATAGCAGCAGACGACTTTCTGTAGTGACGTGAGTTGACCAGCAGAGGGCGCCGTGGCATGTTTACTGTCAGAAGAGAAGCGCAGACGAGGGCACGGCACAAAGAAACAAAGTGGAGCTCTGATCGACCATAAACAGGGAAAACATCCAAGAACATGTGGCAAAATAGAAGCTGAACAGACGTGATTTTATGTGAATTAAAGACAATTTGAACACTTTTTTTTTGTTGATATTCTGAGACACACACATGGTCATAGATCCTACCAAGAGGGCACAGAGGCAAAAGCAAACTACGGATTCCCATCACAGTAAACACCAAGCCTCTTTTGTTCCGAATGAGATGAGTTCTTCTATTACAGAAAGCCTTCTTTATCCATATTGAATGCGTGAATGTAGAAATTACCAACATTTCCGCACAAAACTGACATAACTGAGGTCTCGAAACTTGATTTTGGAGGAAATTATCACTTAAATTAGCAAAAATCTAAGTTTTAAAGCAATGAAACACATGAAGAATTAAAGAAATAACGTGAAGTTGTGCTTCCAATTTAATAAAGTATCTTTAGTTCAAGTTTAATAAACTTGCAACTGTTGTCTGATTTTGCATGATTGCTACGACAAAAATCAGCTAATAAAACCATGATTTTGCATTAATTTGCAGTTCAATTCAACATTAAACTCCCTCGTGTGTGTCTTTAGACGCAGACAACTCGACATCAACATGCAGGATAAATGAGCCAAAGCCACTGGTACAAAAAATTTGCATCTTTAAGCCTACAAGCTGGTTTCTGGTCTGACTGATACTGGGAATGACTCACACACACTTTTTACACATGCAAACACACACTTTTTGCACGCACATGTCTCTTTGTTCTGTCTTGTCTGGCCCTCGGAGTCACACAATACTCATAAACTGCTGCGGACAGTGTCTAGATTCTCATGAAATCATCTTTAAACAGCTTGTTTTACTCAGAGATTTGTTTTTTTTAAATGGCCGCACCTAAATTACTCAATAGAAATGCATGTTAGTGTCATTTTAAATAAAATATAAAAGGATACCTAAGCCTTGCTTTATGATTTCCAGAGGGTTTGGATTCTGCAGAAATTCAAACTTAATGTGAAATGCTCTTACATTAATACTAAAAAGTGAGGCAGAAAAAGGGCAAAAGGTTAAGGGCTACATGAGTTCAGTTGTTCTCTCGGTTAGCACATGAAAGGCGGAAAAGGTTGAGAGGTTCTGACTGGTCTCACGCCAGACGGCCGTTCGCAGGAATCAGGCTTCCTCTGAAAAGCAGCTGATATTTCCCCCGGGAAGAGTTGGGTTGCCTGTCGGCTCGACTGGTAGCTCGACCGTCATTGTGGGAGAGATTGGAGGCTGGTATTCCGGCTGTCACGATGCTGTCCGGTTTTTTCCGTAACAAGAGGTTAAAGAGGGGAAGGACTGAGAGGGGAGCAACAGGCTTGTGGAAGAGGGTTAAAAGGACAATGCTTTGATATCACCGTTAAAACCTTAATGTGCCAATAAAGCTGACTGAAATATGAGTTTTATGAGGGATTAGTCTGTGCAAAGTTTGGTTAAATCACCACCAAAACATCCAGTGTATCTTTAGACTGGCTAATCTTAAACTAGTTTTTGGCAAAATCTAAAGATTCACCATCACTTTCTGAATCTGTGCAAGAAAATTGAAACAAGTTTCACAAATTTTAGCCTAGCTTAGCACAAAGACTGGCTCTAGAAGAAGCTAGCTCCGTGAAAAAAAGCTAGAATATTTCTAAAAACTGCTACATTTTTTTTGCTAGCAAGCTACCAATCATATCAAAAAGCTGTCTTGGCGCTTGCTAGTAAAGTGTCCTTTTGGTGATTTAAAGGCTTACTATGCGACTTCCAGAGCAGATTTTCCGACCAAAACAAACTCTCTTTATCCCTCAGCTCCCTCCTCCCCTCACCACACTTACCTCGAACCCTCCCTTCTGTTTCTGTTGAGACGGGGAGTTGCAGACAAGGGCCAAAATCATCTAAAACCAAACGTCTGCGATAAATTTCAAGTAACGATGTGCATCTCAGAGTCGACCCAGTGGTTATCCGTTTGTCTGTTGAGGTGGAAGAAAACACTTTTTCTCCGTTTTGAAGATCTGTTGGTTCTCCTAAAGTTGTACTCTTGAAATGACACGTTATAATAACAACCTTCACTACTTGTTTTTGTTGAAAAAGAAGGTAAACTAATTTGGAGATGTGTTTTATAAGGCATGAATAGAAGTCAGGGAATAGGCTAAAGATTACTAATCTTGAAAAAGTAATTTTTGTTTTGATACAAATGGTTTAGCGTTGTTGAAAGCGCCATAAGCAGAGGATAGCTAACTGCTAAGCTGGGCTTAACGTAAGCAGTTAAAGTCTTTTATCAATTATCAGAGGTTAAATTCATATTGACTGTAACCCTGACCTTGAAAATAAAAAAACATTTATCCCTACAAAGACCAGAGGAGCTGTGAAGAAAGGTTATACTTTATGGACTGTTACTTTGAAATGTGTGTTATTATCTAACTTCCTGTCAAACAAAAGGACAAAACCTATATTTCCTAAACACTCACAGTATTTCTCTCATCGTTGTTTATAAATGATTGGAATGGATTTATGGGGAAAAGGGGATATTTTCCATTATTTTTTTATTGTTTTTTTTCTTTTTTTTTACCGGGACAGATTCAGACGCAGGAACAGACAGGTGGTCCCAGCGAAGCTCGATTGGTAAAAAACAAGGCACTAACTCAGCCGGGGTGAATGAATGGTGTGATTCCCGCTGGGGCCAGCTGCACTACACATGATCCCACTCATGATACTGAAAGGTGTTTGGGATAAAAGGGGTCGAACAAATTGTTGCATGCAAAGTGTAGTAGAGTCTCGGAAAGCCGAGAGTGGTGTTCTCCGAGGCGCGGAAGAACACAGATACCTCCCTCTGGGCAAAAACCGGGGGGAGTCGCGTCCTCAATTACTCCATCGAAGGTTCCCATGGAGAACAAAGCTGGGGCCCGAAATCTTGGCTCAAACACACATGCATGCTCTCTTAATAAGAGGCCAGCCAGTGCCACATGTAGCTTGCCTTCTCTGAGATTTAAGGAAGTCCAAGTGAGGTCGATGGCAGATGCCGTAGAAGGCGTGTTGTAAACAAACCTGGATTTGATCTGGATTCATGTCTTGTGCCAGAGAAGGGTTTGGTTTTAGCTTAAGGCGCAGAGGATGTAGGCCGTGCGAGGTCAGCGCGGCTGGCCTGACCCTCGCTGACACTGTGGTTGGCCAGTGCCCAAACTCACCAGTGGATTCTCACATGACCGGCGCAGCAATGTGTTTTAGTAAACCTCAGGCCCTGCAGGCAAGAGGAACGACGTTTAGGGAGCTGTTAGTGTCCTCTGTATATTGGGAGGGAGGGGGGGGGGGGGTATCTAAGGACACTGAAGAGATGGTAGAAAATGTAGAATACAGGATAAACAAATAGGCAGACTTTAGTAGTAGTGGCTTTTTTTCTGCATTAATCCAAATATTTGTTTTTATTATTTTGCATAAGTAGGTCCTCTGGCACAACAACGGTTAGATAATACAAAGTGATGGACGGCTAGGGATTAACCTCGACATGATTTGGCTATTTATGTGGCCTATGTGGACTAAATAAGATAAAATATTCTGTGCAGTTTTGCAACGACTGTAGAGATTATTCTTCAACATTTTTTAGCAACTGTAAAGAATACTTTTCCCAGGTTTTTGTCTTTTTAATAGTTAAAGTAGAACCAGTTTAGGAGTGCACCTGGCGGGCTTTCCTGTGATAACACGAACATTTCTCAAGATTAAAAAAAAAAAAAAAAAAAAAAAGGCTGAAATTAACGTATCACAGGCAAAACCATGAGACAAATAGGTCAAGAGCTTGAGAAAACAATCGAAATGTAGGCCTACTCATTATCACCTCCAAAGAATAGTAAAACAAGATGCAAGGATGTTTGTCCTCTTCGGGCTTCCGTAGAATTGTATAAAAGTATTGTACAGTAACAAGTGTAAAAAAAACTCCATATTACAAAACTGGGTCTACTTAAACACAATTTAAATGTTGCATTTGGAGTCATAAAAACCCACCTTTTTAGCTTTTAGTTTTGTTAGTTGCTTAGTTGATGAAATTTGCTTTTATTTCTTTTTTTTTTTCCTGTAGCACGTTGAGATTTTTTTTGCAAAAATGTAAAGTGCCTTACAAATTAAATGTATTATTATTATTATTATTATTCATTATAACTATCTTATAGTATTTTTAAAGTAATTTTTCACTCACTCAGACTGCGTGTCTCATATAAAAAAAATGATTACCAGAGCAGATGTACTGTCGACAGATAAATATAGGCTAGACAAAATAAATCATCAAATAATATAACATTTTTACAGTCAATTAAGCCCACCTGACTTTATTGTACTTATTTACAGCGCTTTTGTAAATGTTTTCCTTAAATTTATGAGGGCCATTAAATGTTTCACAACTGAAGTGGGTCACAGGTTTTGTAATAATATTTTGCGATTTTAAATTATTTTCAGGTTAGTGGCTCGTACACTTGGATTTAAAATAAAGGCGAATAAAAAGGTCTTTAAAAATAAATAAATCAGAATACAGTATCGCTCTGAAGACTCTGGGGTGTCACTTTAGTTCGTCTGCAGGTCTCAGATCGGTTTCCCGCGTCTCAACAGTTGTTGGAAAACCTACAACGACGGACTCCAGATAAGCCCCCCGACACAGTCACCGCCTATTTTTAACTTCAGTAAAACTCCCAGCGACGCGATTGGTCGGAGCCGATTGACGCAGAAGCACTAATATCCCGCGGCGATTGGCGGGCGCTCCTGTCACGGAACGTCAGTCAGAATGACGAGCCAATCAGAGCCCGCGTCTGCGCCTTTGTTCCTCCCGTTTGGAACGTGACGCAGAGGGTCATGTGTTGTTTGTGCTCTGGCCCTTAGAGATGTTCAGGAGTGCAGGAGGAGGAGAAGGGGAACGGATTGCTAACCGAGCTAGCCGGATCCCTCCCGATTAGAGAAACGCGGCTGAACGTGGTCATGTTGCACACGGTAGGCTTGGATTATCTGCCCCGCTGCTGAACGAGGGGAGGGGGGGGACTCTTTCTTTTTTTAACGGACTAGCTAAACCGGTTCGTGAGGATTTTCAAAATCTGAGCCGAAAGCGAGTGAACGTTAGCTGGCCTAGCCGAACTCGGGAGCTCGTCTCCCAAAAACAAGAATGGGGTCTAGGTCCAGTCGGATTAGCTCGCTAGTGAAGTGACCTTTGATTGTGTTCTTTTGATGGCGAATTTCACGAACTACCAGGAAGGTAAGGCGGCGATGTTGATGGTGGAGACAGCCGCGGCGACCGCAAACGGGGACGGCTCGGTCGGGGAACCCCCTTCCCCGTTAATTAATATCAGCGGCGGTGCAGGAGGAGGAGGAGGAGGAGGAGGAGGCGGCGGCGGCGGCTCTCGGTTCCATCTACCGCCCTCAAACCACCTCCACCATCAACACCTCGGCCACCATCAACCACAACAGCACCACCACTACCAGCTGGCGCCGCAGCAGCAGCATCTTTCCGGGGAAAACATCGCCGAGTCCCCCGGCAGGAAAGCCTCCTCCTCGGTGCTCGGCCAGGTACACGCCGCTGAGGACCCCGCCGCTGCCGCGTCTCCTGCCGCTTGCAGCAGCAGCGGCGGCAGCAGCGGCGGCCATGTATACGCCGCTGTGAATGTCGTCAATACCTCGGACGTTGGGGATGATATTCGCAAATTTGGCTATTTGAGAAAGCAAAAACATGGACACAAGCGGTTTTTCGTGCTCAGGGCGGCCAGTCACCTCGGGCCGAGCCGCCTGGAGTACTACGACAGCGAGAAGAAATTCAGGAACTGTCTGCGCTCTGCTGCTGCGGCCGCCGCCAGCGGTGGAGCGGTCGCCCCTTCTCCTCCGAAAAGGGTTATTTACCTCTCCCAGTGCTTCACGGTGAACAAAAGGGCGGATTCTAAAAACAAACACCTCATTGCCCTTTACACTAAGGACGAGTATTTTGCTATTGTGGCTGAAAACGAGCAGGAGCAAGAGGACTGGTACGTGGCTGTCAGTGAGCTTATGAGTGAGGGTAAAAAAGGGCACTTGGATTCGGATGATTTAGATGATGGATACGGTACTGTAACTCCTGGTACTGTGTTTAAAGAGGTGTGGCAGGTGAATGTGAAACCTAAAGGACTGGGTCAAACGAAAAACCTCACAGGTGTTTACCGACTATGCCTCTCAACGAAAACCCTTCACCTCGTAAAGTTGAACTCTGAAACCCCCTGTGTTAACCTTCAGCTGATGAACATCAGACGCTGTGGACATTCTGAAAGCTTTTTCTTCATCGAGGTGGGTCGCTCCTCCTCTATCGGGCCCGGGGAGATATGGATGCAGGTGGACGATTCTGTCGTGGCCCAAAACATGCACGAGACTATCCTGGAGACGATGAAAGCCCTGAAAGCTTTTGCGGAGTTCAGACCGAGGAGCAAGAGCCAATCATCAGGCTCCAACCCGATGCCGTTCATCACAACGCGGCGCCACCTTGGCAACCTGCCACCGAGCCAGACTGGACTGCAGCGGAGGTCGAGAACGGAGTCGGTCGTTGGCACGCCGCCTTCGAGTAAAAGCTCCGGCGCCAGTGGTTACCGCTTCCGAACATCCAGCGAGGGCGAGGGGACGATGAATCGCCCGTTCCGCTCTGCCACCGGAAGCCTGGTCCACCTCAACTCCACACGGGCTCATCACGGTCGACAGGACGGGGCGGGAAGCGGCGGCGGAGGCAGCGTGGCTACGGGAAATGCCGGTACCAGCACCGGAAGCGGACGCTACGTCAGAGCCATCCCCGGCACGTCATCCACCTACCACGCCCGCTCCGCCTCTCTGCCGGTCTCCCACTTCCCTTCCACCACCAGCCCGGTGAGCGTCTCCTCCAGCAGTGGACACGGCTCGGTCTCCGATACCCTCACGCGCCCCTCGAGCGCCTCGATATGCGGCTCGCCATCGGACGGCGGCTTCAACTCCTCGGACGAGTACGGCTCCAGCCCGGGCGACTTCCGATACTTCCGGGTGAGGAGTAACACGCCGGACTCTCTGGGCAACACCCCGCCAATCAGAGAGGAGAACTGTCTGAATGATTACATGGCGATGGGCTGGAACCGGGAGGTCTTCGGCACTGGCGCCGGCTCTGGAAACAACAGCGGAGCTGACACGCCGCGTGACGAGAGCACGTCGACGACGGAGGATGAGCGCTTGTCTTCTTCATCATCATCACTAAGAAGGAGGACTCACTCCTTTTCCAGGCCTGCAGGCGGAGCAACCGGTGGTTCTGGAGTGGCGGTTTACCAGAAAATGACCCAGACCAACTTCTCCTTAGAAGAGGGGTCGGATATCGTGTTGCCGTTCGGGAGTGGATTGCTCCGCGGCGGGCCCTCTTCCTCCTCGTCCTCCCTCCGCTCCGACTACAGCTCCTGCTCCGAGCACAGCCAGCAGAGCCGCCCCTCCACGCTCTCCAGGACGGAGGCCGGCAGCGAGCGGCCGCCCCTCTCCTCCTCTTCCTCCTCCGCCGCCGCCGCCAAGGAAGACAGCGGCTACATGCCCATGTTGTGCGGCGTGGCGGCGTCCCCGCGAGACACGCCCACCGACTACATGCCTATGCAACCCAGCTCTTACTCCCACTCCCCCCCAGTTCCACAGTCCGGCTTTAGGCCCCCGCTCGGCCCACCACCAACCCCAGCTCCAGCCGCAGGCCTCCAGAGACTCCCACGGCTACATGATGATGCTCCCGGGGGGCAGCGGCAGCTCCCCCTCCCCTGGTCACGCCTCCCCCAGCCCTCACAGCAGCTCCAGCATGGCGGGGGCCGGTGGGAGTGAGAGCATAGCGGAGAGACCTGAGAACGGGGAATATATGGACATGTCGTACAGCAGCAGCAGCAGCGGGGGGCGCAAGCTTTCAAACGAAGGGTATTACACATCCGGCACACCTGAGAGCACCCCGAAGTCTTACAGCCCCTACTTCTCCCTCCCTCGCTCCTACAAGGCCCCCACTCGAGAGAGAGACGAGAAAGAGTACGGGGAGTATGTTCCGATGAGTTCTCCTGCCAAACCTGTCTTTTCATCGGTCGCCACAGCTTCTTTTTCCACACCTGAGAGAGGCGGGGGTAGTAGTAGCACCTCCACTCCCTCTCACCCACCCCCACCCTACGGAGCCCACCACACGACTGCAGCAATGGTCGACAGGCGTGTCGTGAGGCCTAACCGCCTCCCTTTGGGCAGGAGAAGCTTCCACGGCCCACTGCGGGTCAGTGAACCCCCCACAGCGTCTGCAGGCACCTCCACCTCTGTCCCCGCAACTGTCAGCTCCTCCGAGGGTCCTTCCAGTCCTGGAGAGTATATCAACATCGAGTTCGGTGATCACTACCCCCTCCAACAGCAGCCCCCTGCCTACCCCCTCTCCGCTGAAGATGAAGTACCTTCCCTTGGGTCCGGCGACCATCGTCGCTCTCCTCCTCAGCCCCAAACTCATCAGGACTACATGAGCGTAGAGGTCGGGGCAGACCAGCAGGACAGCACCGAATGTCTGGGAAAAAAACCAGTCCCCTCGACCCAGCCTTGTTGCCCCCTGGAACCCGCCCAGTTACATCAGACCCCTGGCTAGCAATCCTGGGGCACTGGCCTCCCCGGGAGTCCCTGCAGGGGGTCACTGGAGGTCGAAGGGCGACGACTACACGGACATGACGTTCAACCTCAGCAGAGGCGAGAGGACTCAAACGAGCCCCACGGCCATGCTGCAGCACCTCTGCGTCATCGAGGGACGATACGGCCACGCCACCTCCGCCTCTTCCTCGTCCAGTTCCCCTCCTCTTCCTCCGTCGAGCCCCAGCAGGGCGGCAACGCACCAACCGGAACCCAAGGTGGTCCGGGCGGACCCTCAAGGCAGGAGGAGACACAGCTCGGAGACGTTCTCCTCCACTTCCTCTTCTAATTCAACTCTCTCTGGAGGCGGCCCCTCGTCCTCCTCCACCCACCCCTCGCAGGTCAACCCCTCAGCCCCCAATGGATCATCCTACCTGCAGGAGGGACAGGCCTCCAGGTGGGCCAGCTCAGCGTCTTTTGACAGTGTTTGGGTATCGGTGGAGGGTCTAGGTGACTCCCCAGCCCACCATGCTCCAACAAGAGCTGTGGAGATGGGTTCAGCCTCCGGGACCTCAGCATCCTCCTCCTCCTCGGGGGCTGGAGGGGCTCGAATGTGCAGGAACATGTCTGTGGGCTACCAGAACGGCCTGAACTACATTGCCTTGGAGCTGAGGGAGGATGGAAGTAACGCGGGAGCCGGAAGCAGCAACGGGAGCTCATCAGCAGCAGCAGCAGCAGCAGTGGCGGCGGCGGGGACGGTGCCTCTGCCGGAGAACGGAGCCTACGCCAGTATAGACTTCACCAAATCTGACGGCGTCACTACAACAACAAAAGGTGAGTAAATACATGAGTTTTTGTGTATCATCAGGTTAGGAAGTTTTGTTTGTTTTCTGTTTTTTTGGATTTGACAGGGAAAATCTTCCTTTTGTTTCCAGCCCTCTGTATAGGGGAAAAACAGACTTTCTTACTTTGTGTGCACGTTTGGAAAAAAAAAAAAAAAAAGCTTTCATGTGTGAGTGAAAGAGAATCGGTGTTACAGATATTTTTTTTCCTCACTGAAATCCAAAATAACCCCGGAGTGCTGCGTGCTATTTTTAGTCGCATTATATCAATTTGCAAGCTCCTCTAGTGAATCTATTTTGGATCAGGCCTCTGTGATCTTGACAAGGCTGCTGCGTTCAGGCGCTCCGAGCGAAAGCAGCCAGCCGTCGTCTTTAAAGGCATCTGTCCAGGGAGCTGAAGTCTAGTCTATAACGGAGCTTGCTTCAGGAAGTGGCACCAATATGCGGTTCATCCTGAGGCCTGCATGCTGGTGTGTGTTTTTGTCCGCGTAGACAATTAGCTCGCTGAATGAACCGAGGTTTATCTGAGGTCAAGTGTGGACTGAGTCACCCACCCCAAAAAAAAAAAAAAAAAGGCCCTGACTTCTTGTCTTTGTAGCTGGTGCTGTCTGTCTGTGCCTGTCTGTGCACGTGCCGCTGTTTTCTTTGTGTCAGCATGTGTGTGCAGAGAGTACTAATGTGTGGGTGTGTGTGTGTTCAAACAGGCTTTTGTCTGCTGTGAGGCTGTCACTTGAGACACTTATTATATCTTTGAAATATTATATTTTACATGTACCAAACATGGAGGAGAGCCGAGCCAGCAGCAGCACTTAGTGTGATGGCAAAAACAAATCAATGCCATTACAGATTTAGTAACTTTTTCTGCTGCTTTTGAGATTTTTACAGTTGTTATTTCAGCTCAATGTTAGGCATTTTGTTTTTATAGAACTGCTACTTCCTGTTATTCGCCATGTTTTAGTAATCCAGTAGATTATCTTCTCAGTCTGTTACACACCTGAAGTATGCAAATCACAGTTTCCCAGAATAACTTTTGTAATCGGTTCAATAACCCCAAACATTCCCTTTCTTTCATGACAAAGAAAAGTAGATTTACGGAGCTAGAACTGAAAAGTGTTTCACATGTTTCCCTAAAACACGACTCAAACAATCAAAATTTATCGTCTTAAAGTTTTCGAGCTGCAGGGACGTAGATGGCATAGCGGGTTAAGTCGCAGTGCCATGCACGGAGGCTATATTTCTTTCTCTGAGCGTGCGGCCAGGGTTCAAGTCCTCCTTTCCCACATGTCATTCCCTGCTCTGGGTTTCCTACTCTATCCACTGTACTGGTCTATCAAATAATGGCAAAAAAAGCCGGAAAATAAGTCTAAAAAATAAAAGCATTGAGCTGCAGGTTCTTAATCAAATATTTTCAGTTTTTTATTCTCACTATTGTAAAGACAAAATTGGATGTTTGAAGATGTTTGAGAAACCCTGATCCACCCTTTCCATCACTTCTTTGATATTTTAAAACAATCATGTAAAAGTTGACAGAATATCAAGCAATTAAATCAAACAGTAGGAGGTCCGTATATTTCAGATTGTAAGCTGCTCACGACTGCTGACAAATGTTGTTTTGAATGAGGACGTTCTTTTCTTCAGTGATGTCAGAATGATTTAAAATTGACTCTTGTACAGCGTGGCGTTAGCTTGGCTCTGGAGCTGTAGTGACACAGGAGTTTTTTCTGCGGATTTAAAGGCACAGCGCTCAGTTCTTCAGGTGTACTGTAGACGTGTGTGTGTGTGTGTGTGTGTGTGTGAGGAGTTCAGTCCTGAGGTTAGGTCTGCAGCGACTGTCTTTAGACGCCGTGTTCACATCAAGAGGATGAAATAGAGGATGTTTTGACTCTCACTTCCTCCCGTCTTTCACCTCCTCTCCTCCCTGAATCTCCGCTTCTCTCTCTCTCTCTCTCTCCCTCTCTCTCTCTCTCCCCCTCTCTCTCTCTTTTAGCTTCGTGTGCAGGAGCATGAGTCAGGATTGTCTGCGAGCAGCGACTGACTCATTTGTTTATCTTTGTGCTGAACGCAGATGAAAGTGTGTGTGTGTGTGTGTGTGTGGTGAGGATACAGTGATGTGTGTTGCTAGCACTGGAGATGAACTGGGCGCTTAGACCCATCCCATTAAGTGTTCGTCTGTCTGTTTTGTGTGTGTGTGTTTTGTGTTGGATCATGGAGGCAGGTGTAAGGCAGCTCTCAGATGTTAAAAGAGGCTAAATAAGCTAAAGTATGACAGCAAGCTCGGTCTTTAGTCCGTCTGTGTTGGTGTGTTTACAGTTAATGCTCTGCAGCTAGGCAGGTAGATGTGTGTGTGTGCGCGTGTGTGTGTGCGCAAGCTGAGTCATGGCAGGCAGCCCTTTGATGTGGCGCTGTAATTGCGGCGGCGGCGGCGTGTCAAGGCACACAGCGGGGCCGGGAGGAAACGCATCAACATCACTCAGGAATGCTCCTTCCTCTCAGCTGCGGTGTTAAGCTGATACAGAAACACCTGGATCCCTGACCCACAGGATCGTGAGGAGGGAGGGAGGGTGGGGGGGCGGTCTGTCCAGATGTTAAAGAAACTTTTCTATTAAATAAAACATGAATCAGATGTTCTCATCATATCAGGCCAGGTTCAGATACAGACAGACATCCTACATTTTTCAGTATGATGATACTGATACAAATAAGGGTCCGACCGAGATGTGATGTTTGGGGCCGATACCATTATCAACATCGAGGAATAAAAACCTGATCCACAGCATCCAGAGCTGAGGCTGTATCTCACATGAGACGCTGGAGGATTTATAATAACAGTAGTTAAGGTGGATGGCGCATGTATTTAAAGCGGCCATCTTTACTATAAAGTGCTGCGGGAATTACTGACTTCATCCCACCCTATTAAAAACGTTTTATAGTTTGTAACTGTTTTCGTTCTTAGGCTTCATGGGGTAAAGGAAATAATTGATACCTCCTCAATGTTTTGGTCATTAGGCGTTATGGATTAAAGGGTGTGGACGGGGGGATTATGGGTAAGAGCCCACCCTGAGTGTCGTGTGGTCAGGTGGATCTAACGTGTCAAAGAGGTTAACGTGGGGTCAGGAGAGGAAGTCTTGGGTCTTACACGGCTCGGAGACACGTTTTTTTTAGATGGAAGTGACAGCGGTGGGAACCTGCCCCCCCCCCCCCCCCCTCCCCGTGTCCCACATTGGGACATTGTGGGGGGGGGTTAGGGTTAGGCAGAGTGTGAGAGAAGATGGTACGAGGCTGCCCTTTCCTCCCTCGTTCCCACCTCCACGGTTCTATATTTACAGCTCTATTTCCAGACTGACATGAATTTATGGTCGTAACAGGACCCCCCCCTTCCCCCCCTTTTTCGGCATACAGACCCTCTCTCTTAAATAGACAGATACATGTATATACCCATTACCCACAGATGTTAGAATTATTAACCATCGTGCATGCACACATAGCAGTTTCCCCTTGAAGCAGCTGTTCACACTGTCACAGGAGATGTATTTGCAGCTCTCTAAAAGCCCACAGAAGTTTCACATTTTGCACGTTTTTTGGTCTAATTAGTGAATAAATACTGCCGCCTGCCTTCACGAGCGCCTTAATTCAAAGCGCTGACATGCTAAGGGGGCTTTAAGCATTGGGTGGCCCACCCTGACAAGCATGGGAATCAATAAAGCTGCCAGTGTTGGTGTCCGTCAAGCTAAACGGGGGAATTGATCCCTCAACCTGTCGGACGGGTTCCCATTGGTCGATGGATTCCTGGAGTATAGACACTTTAAAGAGGTGTTTCCCAGAGGATAACATCTCTGCTTGTGTCTTTTATGGGCTTTTTGGTTCTCTGATGTCTAATGTCTTCAAAAGTGTGAAAAAGCTCTATAACATTTCCCTAAACCAGAATAATAATCAGATAATCCAAGGAGTTGTCACTGAATTTTCCTCTGATTGACTTATCGCTGTAGCTCTGGTTTTTCTTGCCTCTTCTACATAAAAAAGCTAGTGTGAAGCTAGTTACATCAAAGATTAGTTTTTAACAGCTGTAGACATGATCACAGCTTCTCCGAGCTTCTAAAATGTATCATAAAAGTCGAAGAGATACCGGTAATGCTCATAAAATAAAGCTCTGGCAGTGGGAGAGCTGGATGAGTCAAGAGTGCGTTCTCTGAGCGACGTGTTGTGTCTCCTCAGTAATATATGGACCTAAACACTGAGCTATGTGCGCTCACTGTTACCGCAGCTTTTAGTGACTGTCAAGTGTTCATTTCAAAGGGGCTCCTTGTGGGCATTACTCAACCAGGGAGGCTCCTGTTTCCCTCAAACATGCAGGAACTCCCGTTTCTTCTCCATCCTTCATGTTTCCGTCCTCCTCCTCCTCCTCTTCTCCTGATTTACATGTCGTTATGTTAAAGCAGAGATTTACTGCAGCCCCAAGTCCACTTACAGGAATGTGACGTAAGAGAACGTTTAATAAGCTACTTGTGCAAAGGTGTATATGTCAAAATTAGTGACGTTTGTTTACATTTGATAAGAGTAGAAGCGGGGTGCCGGATCCTAGTGGTTAGTGCACACTCCACATGTACGGAGGCCATGGTCCTCCGAGTGGGCATGTCATTCCCCACCCTCTCACTCCACGATTTCTGACTCTATCCACTGTCTTATCTTTAACATTTAGGCACAAACGCCCAAAAATTAACCTTAAAAAAAGAAATGAAAA